GTTTGTATTATTACGTTAATACATTATTTTCATATATTCATTCCTGGCGTTTGTTATTTATTGGTATCGGATTTCATCGCGGAATCCACCACAATTATGGGTGAGGTCATGCGGTTGTATATTTTGTATCTTTGTCTTGATAAAGTCCGAATCAGCTAAAACAGCACACAGTTTTCCTATTGACGTTCTCCTTTATTTATATTGTCTTTTTTTACAGATTAATTCTGAGAAAAGATATTAGCTAGATATAGAGAGAGATAGATAGATCTGAAAAAAAAAACATTAGATAGATAGATAGATAGATAGATAGATAGATGTGAAAGGACATTAGATAGATAGATGCAAAAAGACATTAGATAGATAGATGTGAAAAGACATTAGATAGATAGATGTAAAATCACATTAGATAGATAGATAGAGAGATAGATGTGAAAATACATTAGATAGATAGATAGATAGATAGATAGATAGATAGATAGATAGATGTGAAAGGACATTAGATAGATAGATGCAAAAAGACATTAGATAGATAGATAGATAGATAGATAGATGTGAAAGGACATTATATAGATAGATAGATGTGAAAAGATATTAGATATATATATATAGATAGATAGATAGATGTGAAAGGACATTAGATAGATATATTTATAGATAGATAGATACATAGATGTGAAAGGACATTAGATAGATAGATGCAAAATGACATTAGATAGATAGATAGATAGATAGATAGATAGATGTGAAAAGACATTAGATAGATAGATAGATGTGAAAGGACATTAGATAGATAGATGTGAACAGACATTAGATAGATAGATAGATAGATAGATGTGAAAGGACATTAGATAGATAGATGCAAAAAGACATTAGATAGATAGATAGATAGATAGATAGATAGATAGATAGATAGATAGATAGATGGGAAAGGACATAAGATAGATAGATAGATAGATAGATAGATAGATAGATAGATAGATAGATAGATAGATAGATAGATAGATTTGAACAGAATGAGATCGATATGGACAAAATGAGAGATCATTGACACTTTAAACCTACTCCTTATTTTGTCCTCAACTTTTTTGTAATGTTCACGGCGTTTCGGTCGTTGTAAGCTCCGGCCTTCTTCAAGTGATATGCGTTCGAATTTTTATTTAATCCACTGGTGTTGATTGTTGCCTTTCAACGTGACATGCCATTTCTTGACATATCAGTTTCAAATGTTTCTAATTAGTAAATCAACTCTACAGTTTTTTTGTTCACCTCTGCTGTAGCCAGATATTGAACTCACAACTCTTTGGGATTACTCACTGGATTACTTCAATTAACACTGGGGGATAGATAGATAGATATAGATATATATATATATATATAGATGTGAAAAGACATTAGATAGATAGATAGATAGATGTGATAATACATTAGATAGAGAGATAGATAGAGACATTAGAAAAAGACATTAGATAGAAAGATATAGATAGATATAGATGCGAAAAATACATAGATAGATAGATAGATAATAGATAGATAGATGCGAAAATACATTACATAGATAGATAGATAGATATGGATAGATAGATATGATGACATTAGATGAATGGATATGATAGATAGATAGATGCGATGGATGCAAGGACATTATATAGATAGATAGATGGATGAATGGATGGATTATAGATATATATGGATATATATAGATAGATAGATGTGAAAGGACATTAGATATGATATGGATGGATAGATAGATAGATAGATAGATGTGAAAAGGACATTATGATATATGGATGGATGGATGGATGTGAAAAAAAATGGATAGATGGATGATATAGATAGATTAGATAGATAGATAGATAGATAGATAGATAGATATGATAGATAGATATAGATGATAGATAGATGTGAAAAGATATTAGATAGATAGATAGATGTGATAAGGACATTTGATGAGATGGATGATAGATGTGAACAGACATTAGATAGATAGATAGATAGATAGATAGATAGATGTGAAAAAGACATTAGACATAGATGCAAGATAGATAGATGGATAGATAGATGGATGATAAAACATTAGATAGATAGATAGATAAGATAGATAGATGGATAGATAGATGAGATAGATGTGAAGAATAGATGGATGCAAAAAGACATTAGATAGATAGATAGATAGATAGATGATGATAGATAGATAGATAGATAGATAGATTTGATACAGATATGATGATGATATGGACAAATAGATAGATGATCATGGATGACAAATTAAAAACCTACTCCTTATTTTGTCCTCAACTTTTTGTAATGTTCACGGCGTTTCCGGTCGTTGTAAGCTCCGGCCTTCTTCAAGTGATATGCGTTCGAATTTTTATTTAATGCACTGGTGTTGATTGTTGCCTTTCAACGACATGCCATTTCTTGACATATCAGTTTCAAATGTTTCTAATTAGTAAATCAACTCTACAGTTTTTTTGTTCACCTCTGCTGTAGCCAGATATTGAACTCACAACTCTTTGGGATTACTCACTGGATTACTTCAATTAACACTGGGGGATAGATAGATAGATATAGATATATATATATATATATAGATGTGAAAAGGACATTATAGATAGATAGATAGATAGATAGATGTGATAATACATTAGATAGAGAGATAGATAGATAGATACGAAAAGACATTAGATAGAAAGATAGATAGATAGATGCGAAAAGGCAGATAGATAGATAGATAGATAGATGTGAAAATACATTAGATAGATAGATAGATAGATAGATAGATAGATCGATATGATAAATATAGATAGATAGATAGATAGAAAGAAAGACATTAGATAGATATAGATAGATAGATAGATAGATAGATGCGAAAAGACAGATAGATAGATAGATATATAGATTTTAGATAGATAGATAGATAGATAGATAGATGCGAATTTTTATAATAGATAGATAGATGATAGATAGATAGATGTGAAAAGATGCCATTTCTAGACATTAGATAGATAGATAAATGTTTCTAATTAGATAAATAGATGGATAGATAGATAGATAGATGTGAAAAGGCAGATAGATAGATGGATAGATAGATATTATAGATGTGAAAAGACATTAGATAGATAGATAGATAGATATGGATAGATAGATATAGATATGAAAAGACATTAGATAGTTAGATAGATAGATAGATAGATGATATAGATGCAAAAAGGACATTAGATAGATAGATAGATAGATAGATAGATAGATAGATAGATAGATGAATAGATGTTGAAAAGACATTAGATAGATAGATGCATAAGATATTAGATGCGATTGATAGATAGATAGATATAGATAGATAGATGTGAAAGGACGTTAGATAGATAGATAGATAGATAGATAGATGAGATAGATAGATAGATAGATAGATGATATGGATGTGAAAAAACATTAGATAGATAGATTTTTTATAAAAGACATTAGATAGATAGATAGATAGATAGATTTATAGAATAGATGTTGAAAGACATTAGATAGATAGATAGATAGATTTC